TGGTCATGCACAGATTGTCCAATCAGAAGGCTTGTTTCCTGAGCAACTTCACTGACAATATGCCGAAGCCTGCCGACCTCAAGAAACTTCTTGATATGGTAATTGACACTTGATTTGTTTTTAAGGCATTCAGTCCTGGGCTATTGTAGATCGTTTCGGTTTAGCTGAATAAAGTCAAACAAGAGCCATAATTACCGAGCGTTCTGATTGGTTCTTTCTTGGTTAGATTTTTGCCATATGGACCGTTTCCATGGCAGCGGTTATATACAGTATGGCTCTTGAAACTAATGATTGATTTGATTTGATTTACCGTTTTAAAGGCTCCTGTTTTATGTGCCAAACAATTTATAAACATTGCGATTGCCTTTTATTATTGTTATTTTTTTGCACTTCTTGTTTTAAGAAAAATGCATGTAGTACATACAGTTTTTTTCAGTTATTATCACTGGTGGAACTAATGTGGTTTTCACTGGCTGATATCGAAGTAAACAAAGAAAGTAACATTGAACTGTGCATGACTTTTTTTTTTTATTCATTTAGTTTACTATTCGCGATTGACAAATTAGAAACAACGGTTATCATAATTACAGTTGATTAAATAAGTCTCAAACAAACACCTACCCCATATTTAAAATATACATAAATTGCTATTAGAACAACTAACAGTCCCTTCTTGCATTCAGGGCTCTTCACAGAAAAAGCCTGAAAATAGAAAGTACGACTATGTAGTTGATGGCGCTGTTAATGATCGCTCGTTTCTGAGTGATGAAATGGCTGACCTGTGTTCCAAGCTGCCTATCTATCGCGTCAAGACTGTACTGGCGGAGGAACCTCCGAAACGTAAGTTAAACTGTTGTTTCCTACTCGGACTGATAAAGATCATTAAGAATATTTACCAAGAGGTAGTCTAGACAACTGTTCACCAAACTTCTCCGAATGGTATAAATTCAGCCCTCACAAAAGGGGATAGAGAATGTATGGCAGAGGGCTTTCTTAAAGAGGTAAAATGCGTTTAAATAATCTCGTATGGGGTTTAATTCAACTGTCTACCTGAAAGTCTAAACTCATTGGATCTCTAAAAACAAATGATTGTTTCTTGACCGTTTTTGAAGAACGGTTAAGGTTGCCAATTTTGAGTGTTGGCGTTTTTTACTTTTTCAGTGCGTCTCACAAGAATATTAAAAGAAAACGTTTAGGTTGTCGAATTTACGGTTATGTTTACGAGAATTTCTGTTCAAGAATATACTAGGATTTCCTAGTACAGAGAAGTGAGTCACACATATTAGAGGAATTAAACACTCAAGATCGTTTTCAAAGCACTAACTAACTCCTGGAATTTAAAACCGAAACAATGGAGAAAAGTGCTGAGCAAGAGGCACCGAATCGGTCATCAAAACGACCAGAATGTTTTGCTGATCTATGAATTCTTATAATCTTTAGCGTACAGTTTAATCTTCAGTGTACAGTATATACCGTATTGTCTTCCAGCATTAGCTTTTCCAGAACATCTAAGAAAGCACTTAAGGGTAATGGGAGATTTTAGAGATAGGAGGAGGGTGGAGGTTTATTACGAAACGTAACTTCCAAAATAATGGGAATGAAAAGGGATTTAGCCTTGTTATCCGACTGTATTTTTATTGTGTTGCAGGACAAAAGCGCCGAACTTGTTGGTATCGGGTAACAACAATCACAATCTGCAATGGTAACGGCTGCCTTATAATAAGGATTTATAGGTTGATAGGATGCTGGTGAACAAAACCTCCTGACTCACTTGTATAACCGCAAGATATTTTGAAGGTGGTTAGAGACAGGTCTCATAGTACTTGCGTACCTCGTTTAGTGTTACTTTCAAGTGTTTAACTTCTGAGAGCATCATTTGATTGGAACTTCGGTGCCCTTAATTTTGTTTCGCAGAAACGGCTTTTAGATTCCTTACGGAGTAAATATAGTTTAAATCTTGAAAGCTATTACAAAATAAGAGCAATCAGAATAACTGATGACCTGGATTACTGCTGCAACTAACCATGAGAACATAATGCAGAAACTGAGAAACGAGTTTTGTCAAAATAAAAACTTGAAACAACTAACGATGCTTTCAGTCCCAGGCTGATGCGAAATGTTCTTTCCAGGTTCATCGCAAAATTAAGAATCGATCTTTTTAATCTATACAGAGTAATTAACTCGCTGCTTCAAATCATGTTTTCTGTTTAGTTGCGCCGCGTCTAAGGTCCGTTAAGTAGCAAAATTATAAACGAAAAGATTTTTCGAAGAAGCTTTTGATTTTGATGTGTGTAATAAACAGTTGTAGAGGAAGTAGCTATAAATAAAGCCACTTGCTTGGGGAAGAGATGTGTGTGTAGTTCATTTCTATTGTTTCTGTCCAGGGTTTCCTAGATTCACGCGATTTCTTTTGACCCCACAGTTGTTACACTTCGAGTAACATGAACACAGCAAAAGAATTGGAAAGTCTGATCTACTTCAATTGGTTAAGCCTTTTAAAACGTCTCTTGCACTGGATGACATTCAATTATTAGATCATCAATTGCAATTTTGTTTCAGGGTGTTCTTTCGTGGGAAAGAGAGCAAAGTTTTGTTTTGTTCTATTAGCCAGAGTGTGTAACAAACAACAAAACAACTAGTGCTAGTCTGATTGAAGACGGAAATCGTAGCAAGTAAATTGCTCTCTTACGATCTCGTTGTACCATTTGTGAATTGTTCTCTATTGATATGGGGGACGCCTAGTGGGTGGGTGGGGGGGGGGGGGGGGGG